TGTGTGTGTGTGTGTGTGCGTGTGTGCGTGCGTGTGTGTGCGTGCGTGCGTGTGAGAAGATATTGGAGAAGATTTGGAAAAAAATTCGGTTCGTCTTACGGCAGTTCCGGTATTGTACAAAAGAAAACAGCCTGTACCGTAAGTGCTTTTTGCTTGTCCCCTTTCTTGACACATTTGACCTACCAATGCCGACTGTTGATCGCCTAAACACTGCAACGACAACGACGATTTGAAACGATCGCCGTTTCGATCGACGAACGTGGTGCTACTCACCCCTGATATTGGTACTCCGGATAAAACGTCGTCCTGTATATATCCGTATATCTCTGACGAACTACGGATCTCGGGTAAAATCTCTGCGGGTATGTCGAAGAACGACAACAACGTCGGATCCCATTTTAAAGTGGCGATGTTCATTAGCATCGTTCTCGAAGCGTTTGTAACGTCGGTGGCGTGAACGCCGAAACTTGTTCCTCCGGTCAAGTTCTACGAGTGATACAACGTTTTGGTAGTTTTAACGTGAAACTTTCGAGATCGTAACGTAAAAGTTTCGATAAGGTATAAATGATCGTTGTTGAGCTGACCCAAATTAACCAAGAATCGATCGTGCCGAACATGCAACGTTGCTGATCCACAGCCTCGCGAACGCGAGCTACGTTCTCTAGCAACCATTTCAACTTTAGAGCGCTGAAATATGGACTGATCGGCAAGCCGCAAAGTGGCTTTAAGTAATCTTTATTCCGATTGCGTGTTTTTTTCAATACGTCGTCTGCGATCAAAGTGCTCCTCGTATCCATCCATCCTGCGAAACGGTAAATTTAAATGGTTCGTCTTGTCGGAATCGATGCGCGTGATGCAAAGATTGCGATCTGTCTTGTATCGATCGATTACCTATGGCATTGTGTAACGGTTCTCCGGTAACGGAGTCCCATACGACCGTGGTCTCTCTTTGGTTCGTTACACCGATCGCAACTATATCGCTAGGATCTATGGTAAGCTGCCTTAGATTGAACACGGTCTGATTCAGACATTCTCTCACTGCTCCTAATATTTCTGTGGGATCTTGTTCCACCCATCCTTCTTTTGGACACGATTGCGATATCGAGACTTGATGATACGTCAACACTTCGGCTGTATCTGCGGCAAATACCTGAAACAACGGTACGAGAACGACGGTTAGCCAACGGTCGCTGGTCGCGAAACGAAAGGAACGAAACGAAAAGATGGAAGAAATTTTTCGAAAGTATCGATTAAAATTTTCGGCCGAAAGAACGAACGTACGAATGTGCGAACGTACGAATTTTCAATGTGATCGTACGAATAATTGTACGATCGCGTGCAATTACGACGTACCGACTCGACGCGTGTTTCTAAAATTCTAAAAACGCGTCGTACTGTACTTTCGATACTGTACAGCGAACGCGTTACGTACGCGTGTAATGACGCGCAAACGTCGCGAGCGTCGAAAATATGCTGGAATGATTTAATAACGCGAGTATGTAACGTCGAGCGTTCAATACCAAAAATCTAGCGCTACTCGTCCCTTCGTCGATTGCACCGACGAGGGGTCCGTATCTACTCGTCGACTCGTTTTTGTTCATCTCGTGAAACACTGTTCCAACACTTTGCGTCGAAAATCGCACGTTTTTGTTTATTTGCTGTCTCGACCGGCAATTTAAATCGGCTGTCGCGATCGTGAATGTGAAATTAGCGGACGAAAAGTTTCGGATTCGTACGATTCGTAAGGATACGGGGGTTGTTGGATAACCGATGGATTTACGCGATAAAAACGAGTGTTTCTCCAACCGAGCGGTTGTTTTTTTTTCGTCGATCCTTCCTTTTCTTCTGTCGAAAGATGACAACTTTTCTACACCGACGATGTGTGCGTGCGTGCGTGCGTGCGTGCGTGCGTGCGTGCGTCACAAATCGCGAACTGATTACCGGTTTCCGTTTATAGATACGTTTGACACGGTACGTTTGGCATGGTACTGTTCAAACGCCAACGGTGCGATCGAATCGAGACATTTCACGAACTACGTCTTACCTCGAACGGCCATCTACGTGGTAAAAGACGAGCTACGACGATCGCTGTTCCGATTGGTCCGCAGAAATGCTTCGCGTGAAATGATCGTTTTCCGCCTCGCACGCAGGAACGATATCGGTTTTTACGCTTACCGATTTGTTTTACCGTCGGCTTTGCCTCTGCAAGTTGCGAACGAGACGGACATCTTTTCAGCCAGACCGAATTGTACGAATTTCACGAAAAGTGCAAACAATTTCGTTTGCGTGGTAACGATACGCGACGTTTACGTTTTTGCCAACGACTGCGAGCGAACGATCTGTCTTTTACGGTATGCCTGCGTGTATCTTTCACTTTCGACGTTTTCTTTTAAAAATTTAACGCGTTTCCAAGGGTCGGAAACTTTGTAAAATATGGCTGAACTACGCGTAGAAAGGATCCGATAGAGGGCACTCGACGCGTGCGTACGCGATAGCGTTCTACCTCCACCTAACGCAAAGACGACGTCGAATTCGTCGTTTACGTTGGAAAAAGTGGCAACGGTTTCCACGTGTATTTTTCGCGATAAACTTTCGTCGCGACCGACACCCTACCTACTGTCATGAAGAACTAAATGGCGTTGGCGTCAAGATCCGTTCGCCGTTCCACTCGCTGCCAATCGTTCGAACGCAGACGCGAAAATTTCAAGTCAGTGCTGGCAACTTTTTACCTTTTGTTGTAAGGCTTCATTTTGTCGAAGAACGCAGGCAAATATTTTGTTTACCGTTTCTCGCACGTTGTTGTTAGGGTTATTGGATTTTGACGGTTACTTGGCTCGATCCGAGCCAAGAACGGTGGAATGCTTTGTTCCGAGGCAACCACGGGAGCAATCTCGTCGGATCGTGTGTCGACGCGTCGCTTCTTGTTCCTTCGCTCGTACGATGAATCGTCGAATGCGTTATTGTTGCTCGGCGATACGACGATGTCGATGGTTGCTTTCTCGTTGTCGATGCTCGGTGCACCACACCGTGCGCGCTGTTACGTAAGAAGAGACGATTCTCAAAAATTTTATTTCAACGGATATTCTGCCCCTGCTGCTTCTTCTTTTTCTTTTTCTTCTTCTTCTTCTTCTTCTTCTAACCATGAGAATTAGAAATTATTTCGCGAAATGCAAAATATCGCGACTGTCTTTTTTAACTGTGTATGGAACAACGGTACACGGTCGATACGTGTCGTACCACTTTAGTATTTTTTACTTTTTCGTGCGTTCTGTTCGAAACGAGACGTGATATCAATGACCGTTTAACGTATCGAATTAGGAAGAAAGAAACGATTTTACATACGTTAGCTGATTGTTCGACGATTGTTTTGTCATTCTCTCTCTGTTGAAAGTGCAAACTATTGTTTCCCTGTATCTGTATTGTTTCTTCCAGTTACCGAAAAGATGACAGCTGACTCGGAGAAAGATAGTACCCATTGTTTGATATGCAACGGTAAAGTTGGCGTATCTACTAGAAACAGTATACGAATTTTTAATGAAAACTCTGTAACGTCGTCGGAAAAGCCACTTTTGGATGTCATTTGTACCGTCTTGGAGATAGATTTGAACGAGGAGAATGTACATTCTCTCGTTGTGTGTAAAAAGTGCTTTAAATTGTTCAACGAGGTGAGTCGGATTTTGATCGATTATTTCCTTTTACGAAATTGCACGGACGTTTAAATTGAAAGGTGATTGACGTTTATAGATTGACGAACTCGAAAGTCGATTGACGGAAGTGAAATTAGAATTGTTCAATAACTACAAGAAGACTGTCAAAAAGATATCTGATATGCAAAACGAAGAAGAGTACAACGATCACGATTACGTAGAGAATACAGAGAGTCAGGACGTGGATGGAGAGATTAGATATGTACAAAAGGTGAGAAATTGCGTTG